CATGCTAACACTGATCTCATCCAGTGTGCAGCAGCATCAGGATCTCTCGTTATACCTAGACCAACAATAAAGTTAAACTTGATCAACTCCAGCAGACTCGCCATTGTGCTGCTGAGGAGATGACATGCAGAGTGAAAACGTCCCACGATTACCTGGATAACGATGTCAGGATAGTTCTCATGTTCAATCAAACATTTACCTGGAGCCCCAACTTCATGTGTGACAGACACTGACAGACAGTGACTCTGGTGCGCTGAGCTTTGGAAGGAATCTCAGTAAAGCGATGTCCATGTGTTCAGCCATCCTCTCTCCACTGTATATATATATATATATATATATATATATATATATATATATATATATATATATATATATAGTTCATATTTTATATGTATGCATAAAGACTCACTCTTTATGTAGTATGTGTCTCACGTAGAAATAATAACCTGATGTGTGTAAATAGTCCATCAACATGTGTGAAGGCCCCATTTAGATTTTATTTGGGTTGAATGGAAATTACACAGGCTTACAATGACCTCATTACACTTGGGTTAAATAAATCCAACCCACATCTGAAAAAAAAAAAAAAAAACTGGATCCCTAATACAGGAACTTAATAGGTTCTAGAAAAAATATCTATTTAAATTGTTCTGCTCAGGTACAACCCATATTGAGGCAACTTCTAACACAGAGTGGAACCTACTTTAGTTTATATAACCAGTTAACATAGCAACAATCGGAACCATAGACTTCCAATTATACTATATAAGGTCCATATGTGACATCCATCTGATGCAAGTCAGCATTGGTTCAACAGTTTGTTCTAAAGTTATGCATCATTTTAGATTGACAGCTAGAAACCTCCCAACAGAACCCCAGTTCAAAAACATCTGAACTCTCCTTTAAATTTAACAGAATAAGACATTTGAAAAAAAATTATATAATAGGCATAATTAGAAATGTTCTGTACACAAGTCTATCCAGCTTTCATACTTCATTAATGGCATACAGCAAGTGAAGCACATTTAATGTAATGTAAGGTGGAGGGAAGGTAGAGTCTATTACAAAAGAGGAAACCAAATCAAGGAAAAAAAAAAAAGAAAAACAGTCTGAGAATTTAACTTTCAGACAATGGTAACTTTTTGAAAAGTTAGAGCTAATACTCCAAAAGAAAGTTAGGCAAGTTCAATAAAAAGGCAGAACAATTGTTAACCATGTTCTCTCCTAAGACTACAACTCCAGGAACAGTTCTTCTAAACGTTAGTGTTAAATGATCTCCTTACATTTTTATTCCCTTTAAGATGTAAGAAGGAAGCCACAGAAAACAAATTGTGATAAATCTAAAGAACTTAAAGAAAAACATGTCGGCTTTTACTCCATCATGTTTACTGGAGTAATGATCAGAGGCATTTCGTTTTTCCCTGATTTATTAGTGCAGGGGCTGAAGAACGGGAAGAGGTTTTCTGTGAAGATATCGTGGAAAGTGTAGATGTGGGCTTTGGCTTCAACATTGTAAAAAGATACCTGCATGGAGAAGAAAAGAATAAAAAATGACATACAGTTCAATTAACTAACTTAACATCAGGGTAACATATCCAACCCTTTGTCATCCTGGTTTAATTAGTTTCTCCATAAAAATAAGGAAAGGATAAGTTTTATTTTCACCTCTCCTTTCTCGTAGTCCACGAATATTCCTATCTTATGCGGTCGGAGGTTAATCTCCACGTCTGTGCAAGGCTCAGAGCGAAATGCATATTTGTGTCTGAGGGCAAAAACAAAAAACATCATCATTTTCTGCTCTGTTTGCCTACAGATGCATTATTTAAGAGTATTTAACATGGAACTGTCCAGCTTATCCAAGTGATCTGATAAAGTGAAGATGGCATTTACTGTGAACAAAGTCACAGTAAATGCCATGTTTTTGTTCATTAGGCAGATAATTAGGCACGACTAAAACACACACTGCATGGAAACATGTTATATAAAAAATCAACAATAAAACCTGTTTCGTAAAAACAAAGTAGGAGATATAGTTGTAAGTTACTGGAGGAAAATCCCAGGACTAAAGTTCACAGGTAATGTTTATTATGCCATGATGCTTTGGCTTGTGTTTTGGTTATTTTAGCATTTAATATTGTCAGTAAGGTCTTCATATTTCTGTAGCCTTAGTGCAGTTGGTTTTCTCCATGATTTCCAGTTTTTCCCTGTATCATTTCTGTATTTTTTAGATCTCTTCCCACACTTTGATCCAACCATAAAGTAGCTATTAATCGGTCTTTTTATTTGAATGTAGTTTTGTATGAATTGGGTTAATGTTTTCTGAGACTTTTTGAACCTAATGACAGTTTATAAGAAATGAATAACTTAAAGAATTAACCCATGTTCTATTGAGGAATTAAAAAGTTCCTAAAATGAATTTAAATACATTTACGTTTGTCAAAAAGTCTTGTCAAATTAAACTCACCTGTCTCTTAAACTGAGAAACCAGAAGCCATTGTTTGGGGTATAATCAATTTTCCCTTTCCTGTTGACTGACTGACGGGCCACGCCCAGATCCCAGTCAGTTTTTCCATTCACCTCCACCTGATCAAAGGAAGCACATGTTTACCATTAAACAGGACATCTTTTGGGAGGCAGTAAATCTATACAAAACTTCTCAAATATACATTTTAGCAATCTATATAATATCCTATCTACAGACTTTTTACAGGTAACAATTAATATATACAATATACCACAGAAGGTTATTTAAAAATAAGACAAATAAGGGATGATTCTTCGCTAGGCATTGTCTTCAATGTTATGTTCTTTTTTGCCCTTTTTGTGTAGAAAATGATATTTGCCAACATTTCACATAAAGTTAAATTTAATAAGACACTCATATTTGGTCCTAAAAATGGGAGAGTTCCTTTTTTTTTTAAAGGAATTGGTGGAAACCCTATAATTACAGTAGCTTTCACAGAGCCCTCATTTAAAGGTTCATTTTAAAATGGATTAAGCTTACCGGTTACTACGTAAAACGTTTCTTCCCTAAAACATGTGACGTTACTTTACTTGGCCTTCAGCTTGCTTTTTTTTTTTTTTTTTTAAATCTCTAGTGACTTTAAAAAATTTATGTTAAGTCCATGGGTTCAAAGGTTACTGAAAGCAAACTGGTTCTTTTTAAAAGAAAACTCTGTTATTTTCCATAATACAGGTTACTTTTCACATCCTTCTCAAGTTATATATATATATATATATATAAAAACTACAGTTTACTTCCTTTAAGGGTAAATAAAATTAATTCTATAGAATTAATTCAGCACCTAAAAGTTATTGTCAGAGAATATGATGTGCTACTTTCCTTACCACTTGTCCTTATGTGAAATTAACCTTTTATAAATGCATGTCTTACAGTGAGGAAAATAAGTATTTGAACACCCTCTTATTTTGCAAGTTCTCCCACTTAGAAATCATGGAGGGGTCTGAAATTGTCATTGTAGATTCATATCCACTGTGAGACATTATCTAAATAAAAAAATCCAGAATGAGTAAGAATCCAACTACTAACAACACTCCAAAGACACTAGAGACTAATTTGTAAACCTCTACAAGGCTAGAAAGGGCTACAGGGAAATTGCCAAGCAGCTTGGTGAAAAAAGATCCACTGTTGGAGCAATTATTAGAAAAGAGAAGAAGCCAAACAGGGCTGTCATTCTCCCTCTGACTGGAGCTCCATGAAAGATCTCATCTTGTGGGGTCTCAATGATCCTGAGAAAGGTGAGAAATCAGCCCAGAACTACACGGGAGGAGCTGGTCAATGACCTGGAAAGAGCTGGGACCACTGTTTCCAAGGTTACTGTTGGTATACACTAAGACGTCATGGTTTGAAGTTATGCATGGCACGGAAGGTTCCCCTGCTTAAACCAGCACATGTCAAGGTCTGTCTTAAGTTTACCAATGACCATTTGGATGATCCAGAGGAGTCATGGGAGAAAGTCATGTGGTCAGATGAGACCAAAATAGAACTGTTTGGTCATAATTCCACTAACCGTGTTTGGAGGAAGAAGAATTAAGGGTAGGATCCCAACAACACCATCCATACTGTGAAGTGGGAAAACTTGCAAAATAGCAGGGTGTTCAAATACGTATTTTCCTCACTGTAGCTTACAGGAAGTAAATGGAAGCACCAGTTAAGCTCTTGAGAAAGCCACTAGGTTTCAATAACCTGCAAACAAGGTTTAAATCCTCTGTACTTATATTGATCAAATGAAAGCAGCATGCATAATATTGCATGAAAAATGTATTCTGTATTTCCTGTGATGGAATCTAACAAAGAAAATCTGTAAATTCTATTCAAGTTACCTGTAAGTTTCTAGACATAACTATTACGTTCCAATAAGACAGCTGTAGCTTTGGGCAATGTACAAGATTTATTTTTATGTTGCTGCATATTTTCATGCAACATGGCATCTTTAAACCAGGCTGTCCAAACTGCTGATATGAAGAGCTGTTTACCTCCCAGTAATGTTTTCCAGAAGAGATTGCTTCTCTCCCAAGGACACAGACGACTCTATCAAACCTGTCGGGACTGTCTGGCACATGGTGGTGTCGATCCCCACACCAAACCTGCAGAAAAACTCTTAATTAGCAAAGATTTCTAACAGCTACATAAAAAAAAACACCTCTGAACAGGTAGCTCACACTTTTCAGGTCTTCTGACAGCAGCAGTCTGGGATGGGCTGTACTGGAATCCAGAGTAACGTCCACTGTTATTAGCAAAAATTAAACAACATTAAATATCCTGTTATTTTGCTAGCTTCCTGTTTTGATTCAAAGCGTTTCACTATAACATCGTATTCAGGATTATGTCACTTGTGATTTACTCAACCATGCATTTTAGCAGGGCATTCATATGAAAAATTATTTTAATTTGATATTATTTTGAATAAGTTTATATCAGAAATTGGACTTATAAGGAGAATGTATGGTTATCTAACATTTGCATGATTCCATGATAGGAATTCTTTTTTGTTGATTGCTGTAAAACACATTGCTATAATTATCTTTAAGCATTAGCTCTTAATATAATAACATATAGTTTTAATAAAAAAATGTTTTGCTAACATAAACAATAAAAGAAAGTTTATAAAGTAGATGATCTTAGTTATATACAGTGCTGCAAAGCAACAAAATAAAAATACTTCTTACTGAAGTTAGGTGTTTTTACCAGTTATCTGCACTTGACTTTAGAATTCATTTTTCTAAGAACTTTTCACTTTACATTTGCTACATCTGTACTTTCTGCTCCCCAAATGATCAAAATTGACTTAAACACATGACCCTGGATCATAACATAATATACAAGAAAAAATAGGAAAAATCAATTCCATAGAAAATTAATGTTTTGTCACAGCTACCTAAACAGGTGTCACTATTTGTTATGGTGCATAATCACTATATAATAATTAGCAGAACTTTGCAAAGCATATATTCTTAACTTTTCTAAAAAATTGATTTCACACAATCTTGTTTCTTCAAACTCTCTTTTAAATTTAGATTTATAAAGAATAAGACCGGATAGTTCAAATTAACTGAAAGTTACATACATGCATATTCTTGCATCTTCTTTACTCCTGTAAAAAAAAACACACAAGCACAAAATAAATAATTATGTGTTAAAAGAAATCACTTAACTGTAATTTATCATCCAAAAATCATTCCCTAGTCAAAGGAAATGTTACTTTTTTTTTATGACAACATAAACTCACTGGGCTTTGTTTGTACCACACTGGCTTCCAATACTGGAGAGGGAAAACCTAGGCAGAAACAAAAAGGACATCAGAGAGCGAAGCAAACAAGGAGGTAAATTTAATCCATGCAACTGATGTTACTACAGTTTCCCAGTTTTGTACTGATTGTATTTATGTGAAAACTGGCAGAATAATAGATACTAGTTTCATGTTAATTTGATCTTTAAAAAAGGTTTCAGACCTAAGGTGATCAAAATAAAAAGGTCATAACATGATTTAACCACTAGAGGGTAGTGTTTAACTTTTAATAATAGAAGCTGAAATGTTCCTACAGTTTGATAACCATGTTTTATAGAAGTTTAGGGCTGCAAGTACAGTCTGGTCTCTTTGTGAAGAGTTAAGCCATTTTTTTTTTGCACTAACCATTTTCTAGAACATTTTTTAGATCTTCCTGGAACTTCTCCACCACGGCTGCCAATGATCTGTAGACGGTAGATGTTCCCAGGTCAAGATTCAGAGAGACTGCGGACCAGTCTTTAGTGATTGGAGGTCTGGACAGGCTGGGGAATGTCTAGAGAATATTTACAAATGCATAAAGAAATGTCCAGAGTGCTCTCCTTGAAATAGCCTTAAATTCTGACTCACCTTGATACAGTGAACGTGGTCCTCTGACTTGGCGAGGTCAGCCAGGGCGGCCTCTCTCCTCTGGAGTTCTTCTATCTCCCTCTCTAGGTGCTGAATCATGGCGTCTGCTTCGTGCTCTGCGGCCCTGCGGCTGTTGTCCATCACCTCCATCAGTTCAGCCTGGGAGCGTTCGATGGCAGAGGCCAACATGGAGAAGAGACACACGCTGCCTGATGTCTCCCTCTCCACCGCCATCTGAGGAGGTATTAAAACCCTACAATTATTGACTAAAACATTAACAGTACTGTAGCAGCCATTCAGAATGGGCCTTCCGTAATGGCAGCCTACTTCATTGCATCTCCCAGCAAAATCACTTCCAACTTCCAGCCACTGGAGTGACCCCTCCTTCTCTTGGGCATGCACATTTTTTTTTTTATCTGACTCAACCTTTCACAGAATTACAGGGTTTGACCAGGAGATGAAGCTTCTCTTTAGACCTTATTGTCCACAAACCATGACAGAAAGAAAATGTTTTGTACAAAGATTGATGTTTAAAATAGATGTTGGAGATCTGCCTGTTTTTCAGTGTAGTCCTGTTTCTCTGACTGTGACTGGCTGGATGTGCTCTCTCTATCCCCTGACATGGGAGTTGGCTCGAAGCTCATCTGCCTGGCTGTGTGTTTCCTGGATGGGGCCGCCTTTTACAGCTGCTTTTCTATGTCTGCTTCTGTCTTCTTGAACCCCAGTCGGCCTCTGCAGATGGCCGCTCACGCTGAGCTGGTTCTGCTGGAGGTTTCTTCGGTTAAAGGAAGTTTTTTCTCTCCACTGTCGCTACAAGCATGCTTAGTGTGAGGGATTGCATTCCAGTCAATGAGTCAATGCAATCAACTGGTTTTCCACAGATAGAAAACTTTGAATCAATCTGACTGTATGATCTGGTGAACTGTAAAGTGCCTAGAGATGACGTGTTGTGAACTGGCGCTATAGTGAATCGAATTGTAGGGACCAGCCAAGGACCCATCAAGGAAAATAGGGACATTTTGAATGGCTACTACTGTAATTAAAATAGATGCTGCATGAATTCTCTTAAATGTTAAGAGGTAATCTAGGGAGCTAAAAATGGAATAAAACCTTATAAAGCATAATGATCGAATGAGAAAAAACAATTTGAAATAATCCAAACATGTAATTTTTACCATAATTTCTGCATGTTTGCTTTGTGCAAGCTTGTGTTACCTCCAGTTCTGCCACCGACATCTTTATCTCCTCAATTTTTCTCCTCCTCTGGCTGATCATCTCCTGGATCTGCTGTTCAGAGTCCTTCAGCAGCACCTGTAACACACCCAGACATGTGTTGGATTCACTGCACCTTCAGCCAACTTATATACATCGATTTCTTTCATGTAGGTTGCTTTTAAGCTAGTTTTCTCTTTTCCAGAATTTGTGTTGTCTGTTGTTTACTACATAGCTTTATCTTAACATGTATTAATATTGATTTTCTGTTGTTATCTGAAACAGCATCAATATACATGGAGAAAAAGAACTAAACATGGTTAAATGTTTAATGTCCATTAGAGCAAGAGTTGATTAACCAAATGTATGGACATAATGAACATGACTGATGCATTAAAGGTACAGTTCAAACTTTATAAAGAAGGGTTGCTGTTACATGTTATTATCAGTCAATATGTTTCCCACAGTATCTAGGCCTGTCATTTCCTTGGTTGTTAGCTCAAGGTTTTAGTTTGTGTTTGTGTTTTCAGCATGTTGTTGTTTATTGTATTCTAATAGGTTTCCCAATACACTGTTTTTGATTTAGCCATTTAGCCTTTGCAATTATTTCTCATATTTGTTAAATAAGCATTTTTCAAATCAGCAAATAATTTTCTGTTTTTCTGATTTAGTTTATTTCTATGTTATTTTCCAATGATCCTTTATATCTGATGGATGAAAATACCTCCTCAAGATTATTTGAACCTGAATTTATTTGAGGGATTATACAATTTTTTTTATTGTATTAATAAAATAGGCAAGATTGCATAGATTATTTGTCTTATGGACGAAAATAAAATAGTAGACTTGAGATTTTTCAACATGCAGAAAGATAATGTCTAGATTTTATACCCTACTAGTTGTTTAGCATGTGAGGCACTGATTGTTTGTAGCATCATCTGCTAAGAGAGTTAGAAGCTTCAGGTAAAAAAAATACTGTTTAAAAGCCCTTAACAGTAACGTTTTAATCTCAACTCTTTCTTTAAGCAATTATTCACTAAAAGGTGTTTGTTTCTCTTCACTATGGCTGTTAGAGGATTTAACTTCTAAAAAAAAAAGGTAATGATGAGATTGTGCTTGCACTGTACAGTCACCCATTGTTTTGTAAGCTCTGCGATTGTTAGTGTAAGCTCTAGGTTTCCATGATATCACAAAGCTCAATCAAGCATTACATAAGAAGGCACCTGTACAACAGGTTACTATGACCATTGATTTAAAGATATGTTCTAAGTGGAAATTTCTATCTTCTACATAAGGGAACTGCTGCTATCAGCTGTCAGTCATCAGATGCACTGCAGAAATTATTTTCTGTGCTTCCTTGAACAACCAATGGCCATTGTTCCATGAGTTTTGGCTGCTTTAAAGATTAGCAGGACCTTTTTTTTTTTTCTACCTTATTTTCCACCCACTCGGTCTCAATGGTCACAGTGTCATGATCATTGTGGTCTTCAATCTCACATTCAGGACAGATGCACACTTGGTCTGATTTACAATAAAGCTGAAAGCAAGGAAAAGAAGTTTTAGAGTGATTTCAGGAAAAAAATGAGGAACAATGTTACTGACATTAAATTCAGTTCAAACGAAAAAAATACTCATTTAACTAACTAAGGGAAATTGATTGTTGTAGAAACTAATTGGCTGTTTAGTACGTTGTACGTGTTTATAGCTGTAGGCAGGAAGAATCTTCTGTAGTGGTCTGTCTTGCATCTGATCAGAATAAGCCTCTGACTGAAGACACACTTTGGTCTTTAACTGAATTTCCCTTTGGGGATTAATAAAGTTTATTTGAATTGACAATATTCTGACAATATTCTGTACAGGAATTTATTTAAATTTCTTTATTAGCTTGTAGAGCTTTTTTAATGGCAGAAGAGATCACACTTTTCACAGCAGAGCTATAGAAGATACGTAGCATCTTTCTGCAAGCACTAAATGACCTAAGATTCTTAGGAAGTACTGTCTGTTTTGTCCCTTCTTGTAGATGGCTTTACAGTTTTGTCTCCAGTCTAATTTGTTTCCAGGTAAACACAAATATTATATATTCCTCCACCAGTATCACAACTTCTGATATTCCAATTGGTTTCAGCTTATTTCTATTTATTCTGAAATCTGAAAATCATCTCCCTTGTTGAGATTCAGAATCCGATTATTATTTTTTACTTCAAAAGTGGCTGACCAGCTTCTTGTGTGTCTTTGATACACCATATGACTACAGCAGGGGACTCAATCCGGTTCCAGAAAGGGCCATGTGGCTGCAGGTTTTCTTTCCAACCAAGCAATGGTACACCAGACTCCATTCTGGCACACCAGACTCCATTCATCTCATCAAGTCATCATGTTCAGATTGCACTCCGTTAATGAGAGGAATGGAGTCTAGTCTGTCATCGCTTGGTTGGAAAGAAAACCTGCAGCTACATGGCCCTTTCTGGAACCGGTTTGAGACCCCTGGACTACAGAGTCATCTGAGTATTTCTGGAGGCAACAGGGCTCTGTCTGGTCCTGAAAGTCAGAGGTGTACAGAGTAAAAACATACGGTAAGTGTACCGTGCCCTGTGGTTCTCCCGCGCTACTGACTATCTGATTAGAAATTTGACCCTTCAGTCGTACAACCTGTGGTCTATATGTGAGGTGGTCTTTGATCCAGGTGATTGTTATGGCCTTCAACTAAGTCTTCTGAAGTATCTTGCACATTAAATCAGGTTAGAAACACTGGAAAATCAAAGAACGTGATCCACACAGTGCTGTCTGCCTTGTCTAAATGACAGTGGGTTTGTTGGAGCAGTTGTATGATGGCTTCATCCACTCTAACCCCATTGGGGTAAGCAAACAAAAGGGCTCCTAGTAGCTGCTTGTTTGCTTGCTGAAGTGGACCAACATGAGTCTGTCTAGGACCTTCATGATCCGGGATGTCTGGGCAACAGGTCTATAATCATTGGTTGAGTTTTCTCTGATACTGGAACCAGACAGGAGGTCCTCCACATCACTGGATCAGTCTCCAGGCTCAGGCTACGGTTGAAGAGGTGCTGTAGAATCCCATAAAGCTGCTCTGCACAGGCTCTGTAAACTCCCTGCAAACTCTCCAGTTGCTTCCTCACTGGACTTGTAGAGACAGACTGGTAATATGGCGAAGGGAGTGGCACCATCTTTGATTTGACTGATAATAAACTCATAGAAGCAAAAGGCTCAATGGCATAATGCTGGTTACACAATCATTTTTGAGGTTTAAGGGAAAATAACGTCTTAAAATAGGGTGACACTGGTTTAAAAGAGATATTTATTTAAACAAAATAATATTAAATTATCTTTTGAAAACTACAGTTTGTATTTAGCTGGTTTATTCTGGCCTGATATTAAAACATTTATGTCAAAACAGAAGAGACCTTAAAGGAATGAGTCAGTATATGAAAAAAAGCTTTGATTAATGTAATAGAGAGCATAGGTGGATAAAATACAAGGTAATGTGTTTTACCAATATTCCTCGATTATGGATTTCACACAGAGGGACGTTGCTACTAGCTGGCCCACTCAGGGTGAACCTTCTGCGGCTGTGGTTGCGGGCAATCATAGTGGAGGAGAGATGATGAAAGTTGTTCTGATGATGATGGTCCGGACTGTGGCTCAGCGTGGAAAAGGCCCGATGGTTTGGTACTGATAACGGCATCGGGGGTGTGGCCAGTGGGAACGAAGGCGATATGGACACACCTGGCAAAGATCGGGCTATTAAAGGAACAAGGTGAGAAAGATGTTAAATGACAGTTATCCCCCTATTTTAATATGTAACATCTATAGAATTTATTAGTATCAACATCATTCATTGGAGAGCATTCAACATTCCTACAGAGCTCCAGCAATTCTGGATAACATAACCCTGGAGAAAGTGAAATGAGCTGATTCTAAATCTGCAAGCCCCTCAAAGGTGTTCTGACATGTTTGGAAAATGGTATTCCTCAGACAGATGGTTATAAACCCAACCAGAACAATGAGGGCATTGTGTAAAGACAAAAAAATGGATTTAGTTGTTCTCTTTTTTCTTAGATGTTCTACTTCCTGTGCACATATGTATGTGTTTTTGCTCTTTTAGTCCCAGGATTATATTTACTGTGCTTCAGATTCCCATCATTGTGAGGTTTGTCATAATGCAGATTAGATTTCCACCTTGGATTGCTGCTTGTATTGGTTTTTTGACGACAAGCATGGAATTAACACAGTGGTAGCTTACCAGCTGGGACAATAAGCAAGACAGTGAAAGAGAAAAGGAACTGCTGACCATTGGGGCCAGCAGCAAAACAAGTCACAGGAAAGAAAAAGGCCTTTCATGTTTTATTTTTTGAGTTTTTTAAATTAGAAAATCTAAAAACCTTTATTTCCTAAATCATTTTAGTAACGTTTCATATATAAAAAGTTGAGAATTAAAATAATATAGCAAAATTGTTAACATGTAAACCATAATGTATTTGATAAAAAAAAATTATAAAAGTAAAAATAAAAAAATTAAAAGTAACTGTAAATAAAAAAAATAAATCAGAACAAGCAAATTAAAGAACTGCTTTTAAATTATCGCTCAACAGAGCGGTTTTAAAAATACACTGAGGAAACAGGCCTGGACACAAATGATAACCCTAGAAAAGACCGAAACTAATGTCCAAAGGGTTGAGTTAAACCAAGGTCTCTCCACTAATTAGCACCACAAACTTTTAATCAGTCAGTGGGACCATATAGGGCTACATGTATCCACTGTACTGTCTGGTTTCATGGTGTGTACCACACCCAACATGGACCACAGGAAAACAAAGAAAGGATTTTCTCAAGAGGTTAGAAAGACAACTATAGACAAGCATGTTAAAGATAAAGGCTATAAGACCATCTCTAAGCATCTTGATTTTCCTGACTATTTTTACACATTGTTCAGAAATTAAAGATTCATCTAACTGTAGCCAGCCTCCCTGGACGTGGCTGCTGGAGGAAACAGATTTAAATTAAAGAGACGGATATTACGAATGGAACTATAACAAAAGAGCCTAGCAAAACTTATAAAGGGATTAAAGGTGAACTTTAAGCTCAAGGAACATCTGTGTCAGATCATACCATCGTTCACTCTTTTAGCCCAAGTGGACTTAATGGGAGACAGTAAAGGACATGGGTGTTGAAATCAAATCATAAAAGGCCAGACATGTCAAGCTACAAAGCCACAAAGCTTTTTGGAGAATCTCCTAATAACAGGTGATAAAAAATTTGAGAGCATATCACCTCTATGATCACTGACAGAAAAAATTAAGTATATAAAGAAAAGAACAAATACCCTACAATGAAACATGGATGAATGTCTATTATGTTCATGGGCTGCTTCGCTTCATTTGGGAAAGTGTGTCTTAAACCTCTGCAGGTTACAATGAAATCTTAAGACTATCAAGGGATTGCAGAGACATGTGCTGCCAAGTTAAAGCTAAGGAAAACATTGAACTGATGTGGCCCTATATGAGCTGTGACCTAAATCATTTTAAACATCTTTGGAAAGAGCTGAAACATGCTGTCTACAAAAAGGCAGCCTTCAAACCTAAGACAGCTGGAGCAGTTTGCTAAAGAGGAGTGGACCAAAATTCCTGCTGAGAGGAGCAGAAGTCTCATTGACAATTACAGGAATTTGTTCGTTTACAGCGATTGCCTCAAAAGGTTGTCCAAGTTTAGGGGTACTCCAAAACACTAAAAAGCAATCCACTTTCCAAGTATAAAGACATTTCGCTTCCTATCGAGCAAGCTTTTTTCAATTAAAAATGTCAGGAATATCACTCAGTTCGCTGTTTGATACCATAGCCTAACAAAGCCTTGTTTTTGTTTTGAAAACATGCAAATTGGAGCAGACGAAGGGGTCCACCCCTTTGGAATGGGGCTAATTTGGCTTGTTTTGTTAGCATGCTATACCCGATACCTTTCTGTCTGAAAGGTTGGTCGTTAAAAGGGATTGTTGTCCTGGGTGAATAGGTGAGGTCCTCCCCTCTCCTGTACAGGGGGTGGGGCTGCGATGATAACGGGAAGGGATTAACTCAATAGCTGCATTGTAAGTTTTCGAAACCTGGAACCTGAGTCCACCCCCTCTGTTTAAGGTTGTTTTTTTCTTTCATAACATATTTTCTTTATCCAAAATGTGAACATCCTGGTCCTCAAAAGAATGTCCTTTGTCCATAAGGTGGTTCACCAGCAACTTTAGGGGGTCCCATCATTTTTGTCCATATTCATAGGTGTAACCACCTTTACCATTAGCTTTATGGCGCAATCAAAGTAGATGGCTGACTTACCTTGGGTTTGAGCTGTGGTTGGCAGTTTTAGATGTTCCTTTGGTGGTGGTTTGGGCATCCTCATTTTTAGTTCTTCAATGAAATTGTGATGCTTGTGTCCTCCCTTTCGTCCTTTCTTGTCCTTCACCGACCCGTCACCTCTCATAGACTTGAACTGATCAGTTATCTCTCTAAGAGTCCTGTTGATCTGGAGGTCGGGTCGCTTCTGGTAGGTCTTCTTACACAAAGGACACTGGCAAATCTAGAAGAGGATGGTAGGATGGGGAACGAGATCAAATCAAAAAGGGCAGCTGACAAATAAAATAGGTTCATAAAGGTAAAATACTAGAAATGTGAGGAGATACATAGGTCAAGTAAAGTATAGTATGAATTGCCTTCCACAAATTAAAATAAAAACCAGACTGATCAGCCCAAAATATGTTATCAGTACATCTAAAAGAGAAAAACACAAAGGCTATTTTTGTCATGCATACAATGCGTTTGCTTTAAATCCACCTTAATCTTTGCTAGGCTTAAAAAGAAGGTAAGTGTGTCAGCAAAGTAACAATATGGATAAAGCAATTAAAATAGAATAGTAAAAAGTGATATATTTAGAATCAAGCCATTTATTATACTGACCATCGTAAACTCACCTGCTTCATGGGGATATATTTAAAATTAAGGTTTAAAAGTGTTAACATATGCTAACATGCCTGCATAGATTTGCAATGTGTGTCCTTTAGTTTAGTGCTATCCATGGCAATTAATGTATTAAAGGATACCCATTTGTTTGACAAGCGGGATAGCACAGAAAGAGGAGTGGGTATATTTTGATTAGATAAAATGTAAATCAATAACACCTCCCTTTAACATTATACAGTACATGTATATTGAATTCAACCCGTAGAGGAAAGGGAGGTGCATGTTTAATCAAAACTTTCTATGAAAAATAATTAAAATGAGATTACCGAAATCCACTTTTTCTTAAAGTCATTGAGCGCCCAATGCGGTGGGAATGCCACTCGAGGTTTTTCACACTAATCTATATCTATAGCTCCCTGCACAGATTTTTGACCAGGTTAAAAGTAAAGTCTCTGCCTAGAAGTTCATAAACAAGCATGTTACTCCATTGGCCAGGTAAAACATGGTGTAACTGAAAGATCCCTGCAAACCTGCACCAGACTATGGTATAAATATTATTGGTGTAACTAAAATTTTGAAATACATATGTAGTATGTCTGTGTGTATATATGTATGTAATGTATACAGATGGATATGTAGGTATGTATGGATGGAGGTGTATTTTTTATTTTTTAGTATATCAAAAATTTGATAGGGTGTTTTTTTTTGTATTCAATGAAATGAATGAATAAATAAATTAAAAAATATATATATATGTTATAGATGTGTTGCACAGTTTAAGCTAATTTTCATAATTTCCACTTCATACCCAAACAGACCTACATGGGAAGCCCAGTTGGTGTTCATATGTCCGACGCTACTTCCACATAAAGAGCTCATTGTGAGCCAAGGCCCATTTAGTATTGATCTGGGGTTTAAAAGTGATGAATGTCTCTCCAAATGATGGGAAACAGTAGCTAAAATTATACTAACACTTTTTTGTTCTAATTCATCTGTTGTAACGGCAGCAGGTGTGTTACTGTTACTGGTGCTTCAACTTTTTTCCTTTCTGCTCTGCACAGTAGGACAACAATATGATGGTAAATATAATCCATATCAATGGCAGAAATGTCTTGAACAGTGTTTCAGTTCAGCAACTGGTCCCTTGATTATATTATCTATGTCAGTGTGGAGCACTAGAAACGTAAATGCTGCATAGATATGATTATAATATGCTTACACTGAGAAACACAGTCAGTTCAGTTGAAGGAAGCTTCAAAAATCACGCACCTGAGATCCATCCCAGTATCTAGTGATGCAGGACACGCAGAAGCTGTGGCCACATGGTGTGGTTGAAGGATTGTTGAACACATCCAGGCATATGGAGCATGTGAACTGATCTTCAGTCAAAAAGCTCCCATACAAAGACATCCTGAAACAAGACTAAAGGACAAGCATGAATTAGACAACCTCTCCCTGGTGAGCAGAAGATCCATGTAGATCAGTTTTGTTGCATCTTCCTTAAATTCTTCTATAGAGAACAGCTGGTACCTGTGTGTGTATTATTTTGTGGACTTGAAGAAAAATTAAAAGTTCCTATATTTTTTCTCATAGTTATAACTGAGCATTGGATTTATCATATGAGAAGACTGGTGTGATAAATGTAATTTCTATTCACTGTGTATGGTATTATAAGACATTTTAAAAGTAAAGGGCTTAACCCTCTCCAGGCACATGTTGCAGATTTGCAACAGCTGAATGCCACTTAGCTAATTACTCCACAACCATATTTTAACAGCTTTTGTTACTCAGAAGAACAACAGAAGGACTTAGTTGTGCATTTGCAACAAACAGTTTCTCACTGCTGACTCACTTTCAACATGGCTGAGTCCTTGGTGTCACTGAAACAGATTTTCTAAGCACCAATTTCATGTAAGTATCACTACCAATTTCCTTTATTTTGAAATCAGTGCTACATAAGATAAATCATGAATGTGTATAGATATGACACATGGCAATTAGTAGATTTTATCTCCTCTGGGTTTTTCACCAGAGGCATCTCAATTTCAATAACATATTCTCATTATGAGTGCGTGTGAAATCGTACGAAAAGTTATGCATACTATTTCGTACGTTTTGGACGTTTTTCCTCAAAAAACCACATCAGTGCGCATGCACTGGCAGACAGAAAAAAAAAGCAGATCCGCGGACAGGGCGTAAAAATGGGAAAAACAGTGCAATCATCACTTATTCATATCTCTAACTACATTGCTTGCTTTTTTATATCTTAGGGTTAGGGTTAGGGTCAGGGTTAGGGCTAATTGTAATTTATATTCTATATTCGTCAGATGCGCATACGACGAAAAAAAACCGTCCAAAACGTACGAAATTACGGTGCATAACTTTTCGTACGATTTCACACGCACTCATAATGAGAATAGGTTGATTTCAATGTTGTGGATTCGCAACGTGTGCCCAAACAGGTACCAATGGATGCTACATGCTTTATCTATTAGCATTCTCAAGACGTTTTGAGATGTCGGTGGAGAAAAGTTTGAGAAAAAGTTGTCTCTAATTTTGTGAGATAATATTTTTTTTCTTCGAATTCTGTTAGATTTTTTTGTTTGTGACATTCAAATAAAGTTAACGTTAATATCAGATTCAGTCTTCAGTGTTAATTTACCAATGTTGCAAATCTGCAACATCCCAGAATTCATTACATGTGAAGGTCTCTCTCTCTCAAAAAAAAAAGTCTGAATTGCATATTACTACCCCATATGATCATTTTCTCCAAATATCAGATTTTTCCTGCAACTACGACTTAATTTGAGCAACATTGTGTAAAATTTGAGCAACATTGTGTAAAATCCAACATTGTTGGCACTCACTATTATTTCTGTCCAGGCTGTTAATGTTCATTTTTTAACACTGCTATTTTTTCCTTTTGCAGTTTTTGTTCACTTACTGAAACCGATATTTTCAGTGCGTTGCTAAATCATTTAGACCCCATTAACTTTTCCTTACAATAGATTCTGTCACATTAAAGCCTCAAACCTCACCATACACCATTGTCTTTAAAAGGGATTTATGCCATAGACAACAAAGCAGAATATAATTGCAAAGTGGAAGGAAAATGATACCACAGTTCTGAGCATTGAGACATGCATTTGTACTCAGTTTTCCTTGTACTCTGGTAATCCCAAGAAAAATGTACTAGCAATTATATAGGTCAGGGGGTCTTCAACGTTTTCCAGACCAAGGACCCCCAAACTGATGGTGAGATGGAGCGGGGACTCCTAATTATATATATATATATATATATATGGTATGAAATTGTGTTATATCAAACTGGTCCTATAGTCACTCTATTACATATGTAAAAATGTAACGAAAGTAGGTTTAAGTATTTCTGATTTGGATTCCTCGTTGATGGGACAGGTGTTGGACATGCCTCCATTGATCTGCTTACTACAGTGTGTTTAATTCATGTTAATGTGTATTTAAAGACATTTCAATTAGTGGAAAAAATTGCAGGGGGGAATAAGTAAAAAAAGTCTAATCAACCAAAACAAGACCTCTAATATAAGCATTATATATAGTCCAGGTATGTCAAATCTTACCTCAGTATAAATACTACAAATATAGTGAAGGTGCTGTTGGAGAAAACATGGAGGACGCACCCATTAATAAAGAGGAAGCTCTAATATGATGGGCCCATTTCGGAACTATTAGCCAACATTTAAACACAATTGATGCAGTCAGGTAACTTAGCACCACTATAATGGTGAAACGTAGTGATAGCACCATTATGCTATCACTATGGGGCTCATTTCCTCCTACACTGATTGGGAGGCTGGACATTGTTAATGGCAGATGGATGGAGACAAAAAGGATGCCACAGGTGCAGAAGACTTAGAACTGTGGTAGAGGTTCGCCTTCTTAGGAAAATTACCCAAAACATTCCTTGAGAGCTACAAGGAAGGAGATAATGTGTTAGAAAAATCTAAACTGGGTCACCGTGTGTTGGAGGAGTGGAGTAGGCATGCTGCACATCTTCTCCTAACCTCTCTGCTTGTTCCTTGTATGATAACTGTAAATAAAGGCCTCTATTTTCACTAAAAGCCTAACAAAGAAAACAAATGACCCAGATCTAAATTTAATAAGAATAATTACCAATATATGAAAACTGTCTAAACTTGAGTCAGGCAAAAGTTGCAATCCCTGGAATGTACAAAGCTGGTATAGAAAACACCCTGAATTTTACAGCAGTAACAATAATGAAGTATTCAGGTCCCCTTTTCATAGTTGTGCCTGTAAAACATTCACTGTGAAGCACTGTCTTGTCTAAATGTATCAAATTTAAAGGAAATATACTAAGATTTGAGGTTGGTATGAGAACTTTGTGTTTTGGACATGGGAAATTTTTGAACAGGGGGAAAAATGGTTAATAAAAAGATCAAATAGCATAAAAGATTTCATACTGCAGTTAAGTTCCACACACTTATCTCCATTTGTACGCCAAAACACAATCAGATTATGATGTTCAAAAAACCGTCAGGAATGAAGTGAGGTGAGATTCTGTCCTGCGTTTTTCATGTGCAGCACGTTCGCACAGTTAGAGGTTTAAATTACACAGAGTATGATAGTGAAACATGCACAAATGTTCCAAAAGAGTAAAAAAAACAATCCACTGGATTTTGTTTCCAAGTTTGAAGATGTTTCACTTCCCATCCAGGAAGCTTTTTCAATTCATTTTAAATTGATTTTTACCAGCATTTACCAAAGTTCTTTTTAATAACTACAGTGTTATAGGTCTTTTCTAACTTTTGATGCATATTCAAATTCAATTGAGCAAATGTACTGCAGAAAATCCTGATTTCAGAAAGGAAAAACACAGGGCCTAAAGCAAACCTTTGTTGATTTTTTTATGCTGAACCTTGGAAACATTTCTGTAAGGAAGTCTTACTTTTAACATAAAACTCACAAATAACTTCTCCTCAGCAAATGTTATCCAATTAGAATTCAACTTTTGATTGTCATTACTCAGTCACAAGTACAAAGCAAATAAAATTCACTTTCTGCATTTAGCCCATCCTTTTGGATCCCTTTGGAGATCAGTGGGCTGCCATTGTGTGGCGCCCAGGGAGCAGTGTGGGGTTAAGGGTCTTGCTCAGGGACCCAAAGTGGCAGTATGTGGGAGTGGGGCTTGAACTCAGAACCTCTGGGATGCAAGCGCAATTCCCTAACCACTAGGCGGCCACTACCCTCAGTGATGACAGCTAATCAGTACAATGTCTTTTTTTTTTAACAGGCGATGCTCCTTCCTTACTAAAGATCTTTTGGCAGCTCTTTTGAATAACAAATCCTTGTTGACTCCTTTTGGAAGATTCTTTAACTATGCTCTGTATTTGTTAACCTTACATTAATCTCTTTGTTAAGGAGCGTGAAATACAATTCATATAAAACAATCATTAGTATTACTGTGAGATTATTACACAAATTTTCATTGATTTGATGTCATTCTTTGACTTTGTCCAACCGGAATTTAAATGATTAAGAGGTTATCAGGATATATTATTTACCAAAGAACATAAAAAAGGCAGTTGAAGGGATCATCCTGATGCCTCTAATCTCATTCTGTGCTCTATATATTATTGAAAACATTTGGGCAAATCATTAATCAGATTGGGCAGTCTATTTCAGAAGAAATCTGACTTTGTGTACAAAATACTAACTTTCATGGAGGACAGCTAAACTCGAGAAGATGCTTTTTGGCCTGTAAGCGCATTTTTAAAGTTTAGATCTGAGGGTCTGATGGGAGAACATTCCTCTGGCAGATGAGGATGAGATATATTTGTTTGGCTCTGATAACGTTTAGTTGATCAGGTGTGAACCTGGCCTCAAATACCAAAAGTTAGGTAAGTGATTGAAGCGGTGGGAGGAGCTAAATGAACTGCATCACACTGCAGACTGATGGGACATGGAGGTATTTACAAGGTACATTCACACATTCAAACTGTCCCAACTTCTCTAGGCATGGATTCCACTAGACCTCTGGAGATGTGCATTGAAATCCAGCTCCAAGATGCATTTTTTGCAGCAATGGCACAGTAGCTGGCACATGTTCAGGTAAAGTCCACATGGTTGGCTGGACCTAAAGTTTCCCTAACCATTACACTGCTTCTGCCAGCTTGGCTTCCTCTCATGCTCCATGCTTATGGCATAAAAAACCTCAAAACAACTGGGTAGGAAAATTAGTTTTGGCCTTTTTTATGCCTAAGCCAACATAAACTTTTTGTGCATAATTGGCTCCATGTCTGACTGGACCACACAGACCAGTCTTTACCTCAACACAGACCAAATGGAAGTGGAGGACTAGTGGTTAGGGCATTGCACTTGGGTACCAGAGGTTCTGAGTTCAGGCCCCACTCCCACAGACTGCCACTCTGGCTCCCTGAGCAAGACCCTTAACCCAACACTGCTCCCCCAGGTGCTGCACAATGGTAGCCCACTGCTTCCCAACAGGATGAGTGAAATGCAGAGTTAATTTTGTTGCTTTGTACTTATATATATATAAAACAGATAAAGCAGATAAAAACTAACAGAGCTTGGTAAAACACATTTTTAAGGTATTATATCCAAACAAAACAAATCTTGCTTAAAAAAAAGACCAGAAAATAACCAAAACCATCAAAACAAAACAAAAAGCACAAACTTCTTTTCTTTCTTCATTTAACTCCAATTTGTTATATGAACGTGCAACTAGCTTTATTTGCAAAATGACGCTAAAGCATGTGTTATGAAACAAAACTTATTAAAGGTCACGTATTCCCATAAACAGAGCCATGCGCTTACATCAGAGAACTGCCCCTATTATGCCCTCAGAAAGCACAATATGGGAAAATAGAACTGAATGCTATTTATCTCATAATACATCAGTTACTATTATAAATTATTATCATCATTATCATTTTAAGGACAGGCATAGGAAATAAAGCATCTGTTAGAGTTTGTATAATTAGAAGAGAAAATATTTGAGAAGGCGATAAATCAAGATATTTGAAATTTAGAACAACGTTAAGGCAGCCCAACATAATGTGATGCATTACTTACCAGATTTATTTAACATCTGTAAAGTTTAATTAGTGTTACTTCAAAAAAAAGAAAACGTGCTGATACCTTATAGAGTAGAAGCTGTAAGTCCAAAACCGTCCAGAGATGCTTGAAGCCTGCACTGGCTTCTTTTCCTTATTAGAGCACCTGGGATTTACTCCTGCTAAAAATGCATGTGTGGGTGTTTCTGCTTAAACCTAAGGGCGGGGGCTTTCCTAAGTCCCTCCCTCTCACCTGTTCTCCCTTTACGAGGTAAAAGTTGCAGTACTGGTTAAGTTACAAGCACAGATATGTTGCAGAGTAGGTCAAAGGCATAAGATGCCTATTCATTAAGATGTTCTGCAGCTTTTTTATGTTTCAGTGATGTTAAAGATAAAGCACTTCTTGGAACCGAGGATAAATAAAGACACACATATTCACATTTGAGTGGCTATTTAAATGATTGTCAGAATTAATTTAGACGTATTTATCGAGATTTTTATTTCCTTGTTTATTATTAGAGCTATTACCTGAATGCTTTTATTGTTAGGAGAACTCCTGAAAGCAGCTGCCAGCTCTCCTATGCCCAAGATAACCTACAGCACCTGAATAATTGCTGGAGACCTCAACATTTTTCTCTGTAAATATATTTTTTTATATTTCTATAAGCATTAAATCCCCACCAGATGTAGGTTAGCACTCTAGTGATTCACATCTACAAAGAAATGAAAAATTCATTAACAGGATAGCCACTGAATGAGGTAACTAGTCAGCCGGGATTTTAACCCATTCTTTCTAGTTATGTTCTGTGATAATGGTGGTTTAGAAGGTAGGAGTTTGTTCTGTATCTGATGGGTTGTCAGTTCCAAGGTTTAGTTGTTGTGTCCTTGGGCAACACTCTTCACCTCCCCTTGCCTGCTGCTGGTGGCCAGATGGCAGTTCTGCTTCAGTTACTCTGCCCCAAGGCAGCTGTGGCTACGATGTAGCCTACAGTGTGAATGGTTAAATCATTGATTGTGCTTTAAAGTCCTCAGACTTGATGAACCATCTTTACAAATTCAGGTGACTAACTGGACTATTCCAGGAGTTTTACTATGAAGAGGACTATTGTCTTTCTTAGAAACCCATACTTGTGTCATTTTATGTTTTTTTTTGTCAAGAATGCCTTTTCCGGAAATTAATATTTGTCCATTCATCCTTCAGTTCTCTGAAATGTACCATTTATGCTGTAGGACGGCCCACACTGTGATGTTCCCGCCTGTGTTTTCTTCTGCCAAATGCTGAGTACATCATGACATCCAAAGAAGAAAATGTTGATCTCATCTGAACAAAGCAGTTTCTAGTATTTCAATGGGCTGTCTGAATATTTTTCAACAACTCATACACAAGCTTTCATTGGGAAAACTACACCTGTTATTATCACTCATTACTCTATGGCGCTCTACAGTTGCTCTGTTGGGCTTTTGACAACTCATATTATTATTCTTTTGATGCTTATGCCAGTTATTTTGTGAAGGGCACCCTGCTGTGCTGGTTTATGATTAAAATATGTGGTTTTGAACTCAGGATTTTTAATTAAGTTGACTGGAAGATTCAGAAACGTAGAAAAGCAGAAGCAATCATTGCAATTTTCAACAGAAATTTTTTTATAGATTTCTTTGATATTACCAATAATGCCCTTCTTTTAAAATCTTTGGTAATAACTATTTTTAACAGGCCATCTTTAAAGGTAGAGAGGTCAATCTTTTATTTCCGGTGGATCATCTAAATAAGTGATCCTCCTAATTGTCAATCATTCTGGTGATATGTTTACATAAGGTCATCCTACACGCTCGTCCCGTTAGCTATCTTTTTCTGCGCACTTTTAGGCGTTTATGTGTGGTGAGCTACGGTTTCAGACAGTCATTGAAGCTCACCTTTCTCTCCGCCGTTCTTTGAAAATGGCCGAGGGACGTAAGAGAAAAAGTATCTATGAAGTGTATGAGAAAAAAGAAAGGTGTCAGAAGTGGCAGATGTATCCCAGAATGCTTTGCACTGAGAGATCTCCCTGCATAGCTTTATGGGATTTGCTGTCGAAATAGGCTGTCGCTACCAGTCAGAGGTGACTAATAACAAAGATGGCGCAGGCACCACGCAGTCAAGGAGGAGTTACGTGACTAGTGGGAAGCAAAAAGCAGTGATCATCTGTCTGAACGGTCAGTTAACTGAGTTCGCTATAAAGTCCCCTATATAGTCCCCGCTCTATATAGGGATTGAGGGATTTAGGGGTTAGGGTGGATGTTCAGACACAGTTAGCTTGTCTGTGTCACAGTGAGGGTGGAGGTGGTTTGACACTTAGCTTGAGGTGGTTACTTAAAGGTTTAATAACAAAAGTTTAACAGAAGCAAAAATCCAAAAACATAAATACACAAAAATTCCAAAAATGCTGAAAACCAAGAATACTCACAACTAGAAGGGGACAAAGTAATGACGACAAACCAGCAAAGAGTGACTGAACAGGAGGAGATTATATGGGAGAGAGAAACAAAGACCAGGCTAATTAGCAGATTGGGAGCAGGTGTGAACAGAGGCAAGAAGGGAACTATGGAAAAGGAGACTGAGACAAGAGAGCAAACAGGAAATCTCTAAGAACTCAGATACAATCAAAAATACCTAGAACACAAGAATCGAAATAACACGAATGAAAACAAAAAATTAAACTTGGACAAAACCACAACCGTGACAGTGAACCCATTAACATTGGAGAAATCCATGCATCATACACCAGAATTTCTTCAGCTGAATCAAAACAAACATTTTGTTTAAAGGGACCTTTGACTGTGATATCTAAACATAAAAAGTTTCCAGTCCAATCTTCCTTATATTTTTTTAATCAAATATAGAAACCCTTTCCATATAATCATTTCATTTGAATTATTCATTTTTATTCTTTGTAACTATTTTCCTCTTAATTCCACTCTAATGCAGTTTTCTTTTCTTTTTAATGGCAGCACTTTGAAGTGTTGTGCTACTAAAATGTGTCATGTAAATAAATTGCCTTTAACCTCATGTAGCATAGCCTGAATGTGCCTGCCTGTAATGGAATGAACAGGAATACGACATCAAGTGTATAATCAATCAACAGGTTTTTGTTTTTAGTTATAAATATATTATTAAAGTTAAGATGAACATCTGAGACAAATCTGAATCCTATGAGGCTTTTATGCTCCATCTGGTCATTTGCATTGCCAGTTTCTTTCTCCAGAATCACACATTAGTTAGATTACCTTACATTTTCATTACAATGTTGTTGTTTTTTTAAATCACAACCTTTGCGTAGAAGGTGAGGTAGGCAAGTTTCATTCCCTGTTTTGTTATTAGGCAACCTTTATTAATTAGACCCCTGCATTTTTATCTCTCATCTGCTTGGCCATAATTCTCAATGGTCCGTACCTGTGGGAAAAATTTCCAAAGAAATCATATTTCATGTGATCTCCTGTGAACTCCTTAGACCTACACAAACTCTACTGTCATTTTGTATACACAGAGTGTATACAAAACAAAATTTCATTCATACAGCTTTCCAACAGTGAATGAGCAGCAGCTTAGCAACAGAAAGGAACATTTCCATTCATATAGTGCAGCAGTGATCAAATGTACACAGTAGCTACGTTTACATGCGCAAAATTTCCCCGATCCGATCCAAACCTTGGTTGATCGGAAATTCAAAATCTCCGTTTACATGGACACTAAATGAAATGATCCGATCATGACGTGTGTATACATGTACCAAGCGTTGGATCAGATTAAATCTTTTAAGCATGCGCAGAACTTCCTGCCAAACTTGGCAGTTCTGTCTGCGTCTGGTTTTTGGGAGGCCTGACAAACGATGCGCTCGGAGCGAGCGGAAAGAAAAACGGAGAGGAGGAAAAAAGCGCTTGGCAGCGAAATGTACGAGAGAAAATGTAGAGAATGAGCGATTGAACCGGCGTGGGATAGCGAGTGGGCTGTGGAGAGAGAAAAGAGAAAGAGGAGGAGGATAAATTCCTGCTTCCTGCAGCTTTAAATGAACTTGAGTGTATAAGTCGGCGTTCCTAGACTCCCCCCGCCATGTTGTTCACAGCGAGAGCGAGAGCGACCGGTGGTTTCCTGTTGTTGACAAGGCGGAAAAACGTCACGCTGACGTCGCACACATGCGCAGTGAAGATTATTTTACTCTTAAGATCCGAATGGGTGTTTACATGGACGCCAATCGGAATGGCGATCGGCAAAAACCACCTCTCTCATTCGGAATTAAATTTAGATCCGATCGGACCGAATCGGATTAGAATCTTCAGTCTGACATGTTTACATGAAACATTTTTGATCTGATCAGGCCTTCAATCCGATTAGTTGTGTCCATGTAAACGTAGCTAGTGTGACGTGACATGGTGCAAAAAAAGGCACTTAATGTAGAAGGTTCAGAGCAGTGCAAAAATAAATAGATGCAGGTGCAAAATGCAGTAAAAAAGCATTGCAGTTGAGTTCTATTTTGAATATTCACTATGTAGTGCAAGTATGATGTTATCAGTGTAATGCAGAGTCTCGATTTGTGAATAAACATCTCAGCTGTCTGATGGCAGTGGGGAAAAAGCTGTTACAGAATCTGCTGGACTGGCATTGATGCTGGTAAGCCTCTTCCCAGAGGGCAGCAGGGAGTACAGTCCATGGTGGGGGTGTGAGGGGTGGCTGATGATGTTACGGCCTCAGGACACGCAGCGCTGGGAGGAAATGTCTCTTATGGAGGAAAGACGAGCCCCGATGGTCCTCTCTGCTGTTTTCACCACTCTTCTAACCTTCTTCCAGTCTGAGGCGCTGCAGCTCAGAACGCTCTCTATGGTGCTTCTGTAGAAGGCGGTGAGGATGGGTGGGGACAGGAGGGCTCTCCTCATCATCCGCAAGAAGTACGCTTCTGTGACCTTTTGACCAGTAAGGTGGTGTTCATTTTCCAGGCGTGGTTGTTTGTGATGTTTGCCTCATTGTGTTTATTTCAGTTATTTGTCTAACTGCAATTGGATGTTTATTGTTTCCCACGGTCGGCACGTCTTTTATCTGATGACGTGACATCTTCACGCATCATGGCAAGACAAGCTGTACCAAAGTTTTCATGAACCTTGGCCTGATTTTGTTTCTGTGTATTTGTTGCAGTTTTCC